GAATCTGCTTCGGGATCTTAAAGATTGTAATCTGCTCCATAATCTTGAAGATTGTAAGGATTAAAGGAAAAAATGCATCAAATCATGAGTGAAATAAAAAAAGTTAATTTACATGAAACATGTTTCATGAAGGTGAAACTGGTTCATGGCGTAATTGAATAATGAGTAGTGAAACGGGTGCATAATGTATTTGGTTCGTCATGAAATAATTGCATGATGAAACGGGTACATGATGAATCTGCTCCAGAATCTTAAAGAGTGTAAGGCTTAAAGGAATGAATTCATCAAATCATGAGTGGAATAAAAAAATTAATATACATGAAACAGGTTTCATGAAGGTGAAACTGGTTCATGGGATGTTAGAGAATATGTATTTTGTTTACAATTGTACCCTTATTGCTAATATAAAAATAAATTTTTCATCTAAATTTTTTTTAATTTTCTAAAATAAACTAAATTAATCTTGACCATCGATCAAGAAAATGGATGGATGAGATTAGTTTACACAAATGAAGGCGGTTTTCATTTGATCGCTCCTCTCTCTCTCTCTCTCTCTCTCTATATATATATATATATATATGTATATATATATATATGTATGTGTGTGTGTGTATATATATATATGTATGTGTGTGTGTGTATTTAAAATGTCTCGATCTATGTCTTGATTGATCTCGGTAAATTGTGACTGCAAGAAATCAGTTATGATAAACTAAGTGGCTGGAATTGTTGTGGACTTATATAATTGAGTTATATGTTATTATTGGATATAAGAACAAGATTCTTATAAGAATTTCCTAAAGCATAAATCTGTTAAATTGATGCTATAGTCACAATAATCCAAAGCTTCCCTATCTTTGTTTTTAATCGATTCTCTAGAACTAGCCAATCATTTTTAAAACTTTCCATTTCATTGATTCATTTGGGCTTTCATTTCCTTGGCCAAAGTTGCAGCTTCATACATGCACAATGAGGACATTGCTTCCCTAAACTTTAGGGAGGGTCTTAAATACACAAACACTATAGAACACATGAAACACATATACTAAGACCAAAAGACAAACAACGAACAAAGTTCTATGTCTTGTGCATAAAAAGAGTGTCAATGTACACCAATTTGTTTGAAGATAACCAAAGTGTCCAAACATACCTCAATATAAGATGCATAGCAGTAAAATTGTGTTATGGGGTGAAAAAAGAGAGATGAGATAAAAAACATGCATTGAAAAGAAAAGGCCAAGTGCAAAACCCAAGTCAAAGTCCCAAAACCTTTGTTGTATCTAGTGTAGCAATAGAAATATAGGCTAGCTTGTGGTTTGACAATGTCAAAGACTTAAGTTTGGGGGAACTAGGTTTATGAAAGGCTATGGATATTAAGCATCAAGTAGGAGTATAGCACTTCATTCAAAAATTTCAAAAACAAGCATACTTTGGCTATTGAACGATCATGTTAAAAAAATTAGTTAGTTAGAAATTTGAGTATTTCAATTTGTCATTTTGGTTGTTTGGAGACAAACAAAAATTCAAGTTTGGGGGTGTGATAGGTATTAATTTATTAACCCTATTACATCATTTCCTTTATCATTTCCCTTGTTTTATTTGCCCACTAGAAGGGTATTCGCGCAATGCAGCGAGATACATCTTGATTTTAATGTTTCCTTCTATATTTTGGGTCTATCGATGTTATAATGCGAACTAATTTATTTTTGGTTTAAAAAATAATTTTTTAAAGATAATAATTAAGTATTTTGTTATAATTCAATGATTATCTTAATTATATTTTAGATTTTTTATATTTAAAATAATGTTTATCATGTATTTGATTATGTTTATCTGTAGTTAGTTACACGAATTTAAACATGGAGCTTTAAAATGATGTACTGTGTTGTGCTAGGATTCACGATGTCTAACATAAATGATATCGTACCGATAGCACGTTGGCATGTGTGTACTCTTGAGAAGCAGTCTGACCCGATATTTGATACCGTGACAGTTCTATAACATCATCTTGTGGTTTTATAGAACTGTGACAAGAGTGCTATGTCATCTTTTTTACTGGATCACCTGTTTTGTGTCTTAATCAATCTTTGCACCATGTGCTTATTTTTTACGACTGATTTTTTTTAGTTGTTAATCAAACTTCTCAATTTTAGATAAAACAAATCCCTCGAATTCGTCATCTGAAATTAGTTTTTGAAGACTGGACTTTTGAAGAACTTTACAAAGTTTTCTCTGTGGGAACGATATCTAGTACTTGTACCATTATTACTTGTTACAAGACGATAGTAGTTCAAGGTGTATACTTGCACCGAATTCTATTTTTGTGTTGAAATATGAGGTTGCATAAATTGAAACGACCAATAAATCAAATTCAACCGAAAGTAATACAAACTCAAAACTTGTCTTTCTACTTGTAGCTCAATTGGTAAAGGGGTGAAGTAACTTTGTCCAAATATAAGTATATGTCCAGGGTTTGAACCCAGACCCCCACGAGCATCAACCGTTAAGTAAGCGAAAAAATACCCTTCACATTGATGTTTTTGAAAATGGGTTTTGTATGAGACTGATTAAAGTTGTCGATAATCAACTTTTTACCTAAATACGACTCAAAACTCATTTATAAGATAAAATAAATGAAATAAAAGGAGTTGAAGAAGAAAAAAACAAATATTAATTTTTTTTGTTTTGATTAACTTGGATATCCAACCCGCTATGCGAGCCGACTAATCCCAAAGCGACCATCTGCTTTGCAGATAACCCGGATTCACCACATTTGAACTTCCATGGCCACAAGTTTTTTTATTCCTTCTTGGATTTGAACCTTGAGATCTCCTGATACTTTCGACCTTTGGAGCCAAGATCAAACCAATCAAACACCACCCTTATGGTTAATTATTAAATTTTAATACATTAATCCATTGACATTCATACATTTATAAATTGGACCAAAAAGATATGCAATAATTAAAAATACCATTCATCCTTGTATCATCATCATTGGTTCCACTATACAAACTTTGAGTGTTCAATGGCCAACTTTTGGTTGGCAAAGGGTTGATGTATTTTTCATCTTTACAATATTTTAAATTTAGTTTTTTTTATAAATAAAAACTTTATTATTGAAAATATAAAGTTCAAATAAGTTGGATATTATGTTAAAACATATTTGGATTAAATGAATATATGCTAAAGAATAAGTGTTGGGTCGGGTTTGGATGGATCTGTGTTTTTAAATTTCGTCATATAGTTATAACTGTAAAAATTAGACTTGGCATCATGTGAGATCAGCTTGTTTTCGTGAGACCCGTGATACCACTTTTTTACACTTGAAAATTCACAACAAAACACTGTGAATGTAACCTTCATAGTGTTTTTGTTGTGAATGTTCGGATTTGTTTTACCTTCACAGTGTCTTGCTGTGACGTTTCAAGTGTAAAAAAGTGATCTCATGAGTCTAACGAAAACAACTTGGTCTCAAGTGAACCCAACCCGTAAAATTTATGTTGCAACCAAAAGAACAGATTAAAGGTTTAATTCTAACATATTATTCAAAACCATCCTTAAAACGGAGAGTTAATTTTTTGGTCCTTGTGATTTGTTGATTTTTTTTCCGATTAGGTCTTTACAGTTCTTTTCATTGCAAATTCGCCACTATAGTATGTAAAAATGCTCGATAATGGTCCCTACAACTAATACTGTTAGTTTGCTTACGGTTAAAACCACAGTGCGACTTGCACATGAAGGTATAATTGTTATTTTCCTTGACATTTAAAAAAGATCTCTTCAAATTCTTTTTCCTTCTATCCCCCACTAGTGACCAGACCCCCAGAGCACACTAGCTGGATGATGAAGAGCTAGCCGATGGTGGGTGGTGGTTCCTAGTGGTTAGATGAAGAGTTAGGGGTTGTTTATTTACCTTTTAATAGTTTCATTAAGAGACAGTCTCTGAATCGTTAAGAGGCGAATCTTGTTTGGTAAAAAAGAGTCTGTTTCTTAATGGTTCTAAAACCCTCTGAATGATTTTGTATCATGTGCCTCCCTTAACCATTCAGCGCCCTAATTTCATTGTAATCAATTACAAACAATTATATTTCATTTTTCACTATATCGTGAGAGCCTCTTAATTATGCTGACCATTTAATCATCATGCATCAAACCATTTAACAACTATCAAACAACCACGTAGATGGTGGCGAGTGGTTTCTGTAGTGATAGATACTGGTGGGTGGTGATTCTTGGTTATTGTAGAGTTAGATCATGGTGAGTGGTGGTTCATGGTGGAGACTGGTGGTTGGATGATGATGAAGATGAATATGAACATAAAATGACTAAAACGCCTCATGTGAGGGATGTACAACGGATTTTCAACAGTTGAAAGTTAATGGTTGTTAATAGGAGGGATCAAAAGTGAGCATTTTCCTATACCACAATAGCAAATTTACAACAAAAATCTGTACGGACCAGAATCAAGAAAATTGGTATACCATAAGAACAAAAAATGCAGGTAACTTTTCTTTTCCGTTGTTTGCCTACTGACGAAAAGAACCCAACATCCAATATATGTTTAAAAATTTATGACAGATTTGATGAAAAAGACGAGGTAAAGATGCGACGGGCACAATATCCATGAGATTCGGGTTCGAAATGACATACACCTCCAGAGGATTTTAAATACGCCAATTACATAATTTCAAATCCAAACCGAACACAAGATTTGGAATTCAAGATCTGAATGGAATTCAATTCCAAGTCCCTCAAAATCATACCAAAATCCCACAAACCAAACAAATTCTTTTTCCTCTGATTTATTCAACTTCTCTCAATTAAGGGTCTTGTCCTATTTCCGTTCTACGTCGTTAATGCTTCCTTTCAACTCATTTCCCTCTTTACTTGAAAAAACCATTTGAGCTCGAGTTGATATTATTATATCAAACTATCCTCGATTAACCTAATTACTTGACTCAACTTGGCTCGTTAACAACCCTAAGCCAACAATTTTCTGAACGAATAGCAGGTGAATAGTAGCCACATTATTTTATACTATAATTGTAATACCCCATTAATTCTCATTCTCGTTACTACATACCAAAATGTAGCAATCGGTTCGAATACAGAAATAAAATGCAAAAAGAATAATAGTCAAGACCCCAATCAATACCAACTCCTTGAGGCCCTAAAGGCTTCATTTGGACTCTTCTTCTTCCTTTCTTTACTAGACGATTTCGACATCCAAAGAGGCCTCGATAACTATAGATAACTTTGAAGTAATCGGATCAAACGATTTGAAGTACACGAGCGTGCACTTGTTCTTCATAGAAGTCGAGGGTGATATATGTTTACAGCTTCGATACAGTAGTAGACGGTTGTTTTCTTACTTTCCTTATCAGGCCCTCTTGAGTTAGCGATGCAACAAGCTGAATATAAACAAGAAATACATGAAGTCATTTGCGACGAGAAAACATGCATGATTTATTTTTTGACATCGAAAAGACAATTTTCCAACATCAATATCAACGAGTTTTAAACAGGGTTTTCAAAAACTTCTACGATAATACTACTGGTAAAGTTTTTTTTTAAGTATATAATATTATATACGGTAAATGCAACAAATAAACTCACACCCCCTTCTCATCTTTGGTGAGGTTTGAAACTGTGACCTCTTAGGAAGCCAAAGACTACGATACCGCTAGGAAAAAGGCCCTTTGGTTACTACTGGTAAAGTTGACTCGTGAACAAATACCAAAAATAGTCCTTCAAGGCTAAAACTGTTAATATTTTGAGAACGTAGAAACCAACTACTCCATGAGTTATGAACGATGAAAAACCTAAATTATTGATGAATATTGTTCATCATGAATAATTAATGAATACCGTTCCCGTGTTCTCAAAATATCTACAGTTCTCATTTGAACCTAGTACACAAACGGCAAAAATGTACCACAATCGAACTCCCTAATACGGTGCAACTATCGTTAAAGGGCAAATATGTAAATTTGGAATGAATTTTTTTTTAAAATTAGACATTGCACTTTTTAAAAACAATCCAACATTGTTTTAAGAGAGTTCTATTTCCCCATCTAAAACACTCCTAGAAGCCAAATGTGTTGACACAAATCAATATTTCTAATCGGATAAAAATCTGTTATCTCAAATTTTCCAGTCTCATTCTTATCCACGAACGTGAATATAGAGAGAGAATAAAAACATCAATTAAATGAGTTCATATTTATGTGTATTCATGTAATTAATAAGGAGGGATGAGACAAAACTGTAGCAGAACGTATTTTTAATCCTATCTAAACATCATCAAATTTTGGTTATAATGAACAGAAACAAATATTTTATGCATTCCAAAATAAATGTTCACAGTAAAAATGACACAGTTTTAGAAATATGTAATTATCACTTTTTAATCAACAAAAAAGACAATTTTACCCTTGCAAAAGAGAGAAATTTTCTCCGTCTTATGATTAAGGGTAGGATTAAAAAAAGTAAGGGGCCGTTTACTAAACGCTTACCCGGTAAGAACGAGGATAAGGATGGAGAGTCTTACCCGGTAAGTGAGAGTGACGACTCTTACCAGGAAATTTGTTGCTGGAATACGTTGTGATGTACTACAACCTTACCCAATAAAATAAATTATAGTGTTGACTCCTAACAGTGAACAGTTACCGAGTAAGCATTTAGGTAAACAGCCCCTAAACATTTACTTTTGAAAATTGACACTTATCTTGGGACAAATTAAAGTAGAAATACGGATATTTATTTTTGCAAAAATAGACTATTTAACAGCTGAAAATTTCTTAAAGAAGTTGCAATTTAATAGGACATCAAAAAAATAAAATTATGTGGTAGATCTTGGCTCTGATACCATGTGAGAATATGTGGAACACCCGGATCACTCTCCAAAAGAGCCCTTATGGAGAAAGTGAGAGGTTTCAACATATATACGGGAGAAATGGTCCAAATCTAGCTGATGTGGGACTCCAACAGTCCGAGTCTAAATGTGGCACCAAACATGGACAAGAAGTTTTTGTTCTTGTCTTGTTCCACGTACCAAACGCACACTAAAAGGTCTTTTGGGGACGAGATCATCTCATATAAAGATATTTCATTCTCAGTTGAAATATAGAAGAACAAATCATGAAAGTGACATACCTCTCCTTTTCTATTGAACATTTGCCCGCTTACGAATCCTCGAGCATTGTAAGCAGTTGGACTCGATATCTGTAAAACGAGTGACGTTTATATTAAAGAGTAAACATAGAGGCTGAACACCAAGGAAAACAATAAATCAGAGTTCTAGTTGGTACTAACCACATACAACAACCACTCGTCTGCTCTAACGGGCCGGTGAAACCAAATCCTTGAAAAAAAAAGAATAGTTAATCAAGATGGATTCAATTATATCTAAAAAATATCTAACAAAAATAACACATAAATAAATTCTATTCGATCTGCCTCTTCCAGTGACTCGATAAGATAGACCGACCAATTTCCAACTTCCAAAATGATTCAATCCATAAGGTGTAACATCACGGGCCAAACATACCAGATATTGTCGGCTTTGACTATACCTAGACTCTCGGTTTTAAAACACGTCTGAAAGAGGTGTCCAGTTCCTTATAAGGCAACGTTTGTTTCCCTCCCCAACCGATGTGGGATCTTACAATCCACCCCACTGAGGGGGACCCAGCTCCCTAGCTGGCACACCAGATATTATCCGCTTTGTCCCAGGATAACCATACCAGATATTGTCCGCTAAGTCCGCGAACGCCTCCGACGGAGGAGCTGTCCAGTTCCTTATAAGACAACTTTTGTTCCTTCCCCAACCGATGCGGGATCTTACATAAGGAATCATTACAAATCTTCATGATTGAAAAATATTACTCACTCTGCCCCAAAATAACTGTACACAATAGAAATTGCTTACAGTTTTAGACATACATAATTATTACACTTTTCAGTTTACCAGATGACAACCTTACCCTTATTTAATTTCTCTCTCACACACAACTCTTAAATAGGTGCTCATTAATTAACGATAAATTTAAGGATTTAGTTATCTATCTTTGAAACTAGACACTTATCTCGGGACGGAGTGAGTATTAAATAAGAATTCCAAAACAGCAACACTTCAAATTTGACTCCAAAATGTTCCAAGTTTAACAGCCCCTTTGCTTCATAAAGAAAATGTTCGACTATTCGTCAACTATCTTGAGTACATTTTGAGAAGACATATTAAATAAATATTGTAGACTGTGATCAGTGGCATCAACTTATTTGTAACAAATTGGTGATTTTGACATGAAAAACTTCCCAGAAAAGAAAATGATACAATTTCCCGGGGATATTACAGTAAGGGAATTGACCAATTGTTGGAGGGATTGCCTTTTGTTGGAGACGCGATATTAGACATGAAGGTTTTAATCATTTCCGATGACAACTTCTGACAGGAGTTCTTGGAGACGCAATATTAGGGTAGCAGACTAGGGGAGGGGTAGACTGTAGAGGACGGGGGTACGTTCAGTGAGCCAGTGATAAGACCCATGAAGCCTAGGTTAGACTAGGGATGTGTAATCCATCCAACCTTGGTTATGTTTTTTGTACATGCTTATGTTTTGTATGTCCTTGTTTGATTTTTGGTTGCTTACTTTTAACTCGTTTTTCAAATTTTAGCACCGTCTTTCTTGTTTTCAAGTCGTTTTTAGAATGTTCATATGTTCCTTTGCACAAAAGTTATTACGCAAGTTGTATCCTTTTTCTCTGCACACGTTGCACAAACCGGGGATTGTCACAGAAACAACCCCTCAACTTTACGATGGAATGGCTAGTGGTTCCCGTGAAACCACTAACTTGATGCCGCGTAGTGTAAATTCTTTTAGTTGTTTAACAGTGCAACCATATTTTTCGTTGCATGAAGCCAAACAATTTTGGTTGGGTGGAACAATAAACCTAGCCGGTAATCCTAACTCTTGAAAGAGATGAATTCTAATTGGGGTAACCTTGTTTTTGTTTTCTGTTAATATTTGGATGTTGGGGTTAATGATAGTTATTTGTGTTTAGCTTTAATTTGATTATATTTGGGGCTAATATTTTAGAGTTAATTTGTTTATATTAATGTTAAAATAGTAACATGTCAATTTGGTTTTTTGGGTAACCGTGAGCATCTGGGCCAACTTACGTGCACAGACTAATCACCCAGGCGACCACTAATTGCGTATAGTCATCGCAGGTGAACCTTCATAACCACAAGGGTTTTGGAAGCGCCTAGAATCGAACCCAAAGAAGATGAGATTTCCACATCTTTAGTGTTATTTTGGGGCCAACTCTTTAGGGTTAATTTGTGTATATTTGCTGCAACTCTTTAGACTTTAGGGTCAACTTGGAGCTACAATTTTAGGGTTAATTTTTTTTCATATTTGGGGCTAACTCTTTAGACTTTAGGGTTAATTTGTTAATGTTGTTGATTTGTTTCTTCAATGTGTTTGAAGATGTAAGATCTATTTAAAAGAAAAATATCATGTATAGACTCATAAAAAAGGCCTTATAAAACATAAACTAATGGAAGTATTTTCATCTTGGTGCCTATATTTTATTTTTATTTCATAATTAAATTAAATTTATTTAATAATTAAATTTTATCATATTCTATATTATGGTAATTATTTTGTGCTATCACTAACAAAAAAATCTTGGATCCGCCTTTACCCGGGACCCACCTTCGGGTGGAATATACTAGGGTTGTTTGGTTGGGTTTATTACCTTTTATTTAATTGATTGTAACTTATTAGATGCCATCAACAAATGTCAACTTGAAGTTTAAAAACAACTAATTTGACAAAAAAAGAAGTTAAATGTGGTTTCTTTTTTTCTTTGGACAGAAATTCATGGTTTAGACAAACCATGTGTCATTAATAGGAAAAGGTTTTATGACCTCACCAAGAGATATATCCTGTTTGCAGGGTATAACGTCTAGGTGGAGGTCCAAATGAGAACACCTTCATTTTAAGAAAACACAAGAACACCCTTGTCACATGTGATAATACACGTGAAAAACCTGGTTATGTGCGGGCGACTTGGCTTGCAACCTAGGTTGTGCCAGCACGTCCCCCGCATCTCTGATTTAATACCATATGGGATGGATTATAGTATCACATGTGATTGACTATAGTAAAAGGGTTTTCTAGCGTTTTCATAACATGAAAGGTGTTCTCGTTTGAAGTCTTCTCATAGCGTCTATACTATAAAATAAATATAAAAGTAATAATTAAAGCTCATGAATACTTACGAGTGATCCAAGCTAACAGATGAAGTCTTCAAGTCCTTACGGCGATGAGGATTCAGACTGACATTTAGAAATATGAGATCTGAAGTGTACGCTACAACACATCTGCATAATAAATCATTTCCAGATGCTTGATAAATAAACACATAATCTGCTTCTGCATCTTACAAACCAAACCAGAGGAACCCAATATATCTAGGGACAGTATGATGTACACAAACCTTACCTCTACCCCAAAGGGTAAAGAGGCTGTTTCCATGAGAACCCACAGCTTGAAAATCAAAAAATAATCGGAAACAAGTGTGGTAAGTAGAAGAGAAGTGTGTGCAAACAAGCAACAGGTAGATTGCTATCAATTAAACAAACTACTAAAGTAGAAGGAACACTTAGTCTAGCAATCAGTCATAAGTAAACCTAAAAGATTGGCATACAGTAAAAGCATCTCCAAGAGATTCTCCAAAATGGAGAAAATGAGGAAAACGAAGATTTTGAACCAATTTTATGCTCCAACAGATCCCTAAAACTCTCTCCGAGATGAAGTAGGGAAGAGAAGGTTTTTTCTCCAAATATGGGTAACACCCCAAAAATGATTACCATGTGAGAGATATTTTTAATATATTTTCACTGATAGGAAACTGTGAAAATAAATATTTAGAGAAGAAATAATATTAAAATAGATGAATGAAATATTTTAATATTATAATCAATGTTGGATTCTCCAAAATGGAGAATTTGTTGGAGATAATGTAATTCTTTTAGAGATTGACTTTTGGTTCTCTATTTTGGATGAATTTTGGGGAATCTGATGAAGATGCTCTAAAAACATGAAATACTAACTCTAATGAACAATAAAGGGTCCCACAAGTAAATGCATAAATAAGATATGGAAGGTAGAAAGAACTAAAACCACCTCCTTCTAACGTAGCACCAGCTTCCCTCCCCCTTGCCTACCCTCTATCAACTCCAAACTCCCTCCAGTTTATGTTAGCTATTGATCCCGTCCCCCCCCCCCCCCCCCCAACATAGTCCGCTACCCTAGCCTTGCTCCTCCAAAAGCAAGACTAAAACCACCTCTTTCTAATGTAGCACCGGCTATCCCTCCCCTTTGCCTACCTTCTATCAACTCCAAACTCCCTCAGGTTTATGTTAGCTATACCCCCCCCCCCCCCCAAAAACATAGTCTGCTACCCTAGTCTTGCCTGAACAAAAGCTTCTATCAAAGGTCATGTCATCAGAAATATCTAAGGTCGTCGTTTTTATCCTCATATGTTCATCCCATTTATTCCTTGCACTACTATTCATACTTTTCTATTCTCCTCACTAGCGCCATTGGTCTCCAGCATCCGTGTCTGAACCACTGCAGTCTTCCTTCTCTTAATTTATCCATGCCAAACGCGACTTCCCACTCTGCCTGAAAGGCCTCATTGGGCATCGTATCCAACCTAGTCTGACCACATATCCACTTCTTTTTGCAACTTCGACCTTTCACTTGTGTGTCTTTTAATTTTTTATCACCCAACACTTCAAACCATACAACATACCAGGTCCGATGGAACCCTGTAGAATTTCCTTTTTAATTTTGGCAGTTTCTTGTCTCGCAAAACTCTGTGGCAACCCTCCAGTTTAACCACCATGTCTTTATTCTATGTGTTACATCATCTTTGACCTCCCCTCCTAAATCATGGAGCCTAGATACTTGAACCTATCATTTTGGGGCATCTTTTGATTCCCAATGTTGACTTCAACCTCCTCGTCAACAGATTCCCTGCTATAATTTCAGCATTTGACAATTTGTCTTAGAGCGGCTAATGAGCAAGACATATGTTTCTAATGCCGCCTTCTACTGCTCTACTTTCTGGTTCACCTCTACTCTCAACTCTGCTACCGGCACAATATCGTCAGCTAATTACATGCACCAAAGGATACTCCCTAGAATCCCTCGGAAAATCTCGTCCAGAATTACTACAAAAGGAATTGGCTTAGTGTCGATCCTAGTGTAGCCCTATCCCCAGCAAGTAATACCCCATCTCTCCCACCAGGTCCTGACACGTTCTCATTCACTCATACATGTCTTGTATCACCCTAACATATTACATCGGATAAAATACCTAAACAGAGATTTTAGTTAATGAGGTCATTGTAGCTTGGAGAAAAGAGAACTGTTAGGTGTTCTCAAAAACCATTTGAAAGGGATCCCAATATGAAAATTGTTTTGATAAGCAAATACACCACTGGAAAGCTACTACATTTTCATAAATCGTTGTCTAAAAGTCTTTGCCGATATGATACCTTCATGCACCTGAACCTTAATAGCCAACTCTAGTACTGCATGTCTTCATCATTGAAGACAGTTGTTCTTAGCATAGATAGGTATATCAACAAAGGTGACTAGCTCTTGTGCAGGTAAAACAAAAATTCTAGATACATGTGCAGGCGTGCTAATAATTCTAGGCAATGAGCTTCAACAATTTATTCATTTGCTTCTCAAGCAGTTGTATCTACAAGTGGGTACTCACCTATGTAAAGCCTCATCATCTGAGAGTTTTCCTTTCGCTCTAAACCAGTATCTCAAGCTGCAATTATAAAATAATATATTGAATGATAACCATACAAGTGTGTATGTTGATGCAGTAAAAAATGATTAACCACTGGTTGACCTGGCAGGACGTTTATCGTAGTTGGTTGAATTACTAGGCTCACAAAACCTTATGTCGATAGGCCAAGGAATAAACTTTGTTGTGGCAACTTTGTTTCGGTAAGTCCTGTAACAATAACGTAGTTGTTAGACACCTTACCTGTGGTATTGGAAATATGCATAATACTTCCTCCATCCCAAAATAAGTGTCCGCGATTAAAAAAAAACACATGGTTTAAGAAATGTGTAATTGCTACAGCTTTTAATCAACCAAATGACAAGTTTACCCTATATCTCTCTCTCCATCTACTTAACTCTTAAATACTCCTGTATCAAAATCAAGAGTAGAATTGGAAATTTAATAAATTATAACCATCTATTTTTCAAAGTGGACACGTATTATGGGACAACCTTAAATAGAAATGTGGACTCTTATTTTGGGACAGAGGCAGTAATTGGAATCTACCTGGGAAGACGAGGATCAGTAAGGCGCTTCTCCCGCAAATCTTCCATTGATAAAAGCTGCAAACACCAGAGTTAGAGGAAATAGCAATTTTAACTAGAACCATTTGACAAGTTTGTAGCAACATAGTTCTGGTACCATTTCTGGATCAGGGACTGCAGGCATTGACGGTAGCTGGTGATCAAACCCTACTTCTTCTTTCTGAAAAAACAACCCATACTTGATTAATATACAGACGTAAATAATTTAATTTTGCACCTTTGCTACCATCAATTCACATATAAAGAATGAAAAACAAAACTAAGATCGTCTGAAAGAAGTATAGGTCACTGATACATGATTATAACAACAAACAAGATTAAATGAATGTCATGCAGCATGCAGCTATAAGATGGTTCGACCCCAGTTTTATTTAATTGGGCATCAAAAACCAAAGCAAACCAAACATACCCAGTATGTCCCACCTGGAGGTGGGACCTGGGTTTGGGGAGGGTAGGATGTATGCAACTCTGACCTCTACCTCCAAGAGTAGAGCGGATGTTTCTGTAAAGACCCACGGCATGTGCAAAGAGTGTGAAACAAAATAATTGAGCTTGCTCAAATAATAATAATAATGAAACAGAAAAAGAGGGAGAACATGAAAAAAGAAAGGCAGTGCTATAATTGAAAATGAGTCAAAAATAGACAAGAACATTCAAACAGACAAATAAATACACAAACACAAGCAGGACAAGAAAATATAACCATGGTAGGAAGACCAACATACCCTAGTCTAACCCTGGAGAGCTAACTGCCGACCCACTAAACCTACACCCATCCTTTACCTCCCTAGATCTTTTCCTCCTGCCCCCGCTAGCTACGTATTTCCACCCCTAGTCAGCTACCCTAATCTAGGACATCTCTGAAGAAAATTCTTAGTAACAAAGATATTGATCTGCTTGTGACAGTATTGCAAGGTAAAATCGATCAAACTTCATGGTTTGCGGTATTTAACTATGTAATGAAGTTTAAGAGAAAATTAGTATCTAGTACTTGTAACCAAATATAGACAATTACATGAACCCTGCCCTATCAACCTCCTAGTAAAGTTCATCTTATCATGTACCTTAGAAGACATGGTACCTCCATCTATCAACACATCAACAAATGAGACCTGAAACCATATGGTAGGCGGTTCCCACACTTGTAGACTGTGCTTCCTAATACTTATTTCTGTCTAAGAAATTGATCTACTGGGTCTATTGATGATTCACTGAACTAAGAGATGATCTATTGAGAAAGCCAACTATCATGGCATTCAGAAAAATAGGAGAATAATATGATGGAACGTCAGCAGATCAAGTTACTTGAAGTTTCCAATTATCAATAATGTAACAAAAATCATGCAAGGTTGCAAACTTCTCTCCAAGGCAATTTCTTCTCTAGATTGCATAGTGAATGTTGAGACGAGCCTTCCAACGTGTCCTCACCTTCTTCATACCCCGAAACTGAAAGCAGTTTCCTCACATATCGTTGTCCTTGTCATACCCAGCCAACCTTAACCAAACAAAGGTAATGCTTCGAAGGAACACATAGCATCATTCAAGCTCTACTCAGGCAATATATACATATTATAAGCCTGTTTCCGGTCTACCTTTAGGCCATATTTGTTGAGGTTAAGATTAAGAAGTCAAAACAAATAACGGTCTTTGAGGTTTACCAATTGATTGATAATGAAAATTAGGAGCAATTGTCGTTAACGGATGTCTTAATGCTTGACAATCTTGAATTTTGTGAATAGGACAGAAATAAGAATAACGCAAACTAAAAAGCATATCTATGTTTAATAAGACACCGCGTCTATGGTTTCTGAACATGCTCCTGCAAGAAGGATGCATCACGATTAGCGATTCTTGTCTCATGTGCAAGAACACGGGCAACACCTGACACAGATAATTATACACATTGGTGATCAAGACAAATTCTGACCTGGTTACTGACCTGAAGACTTAAAAGTAATTGAACAAAGGCTGCTGGATTGCATAATACGTGTAAACTCACCAAGTCTTAGCCAGTTTGGCATCCAAAAAATGCAATCATGAGGAACATCACTACACTGCGCTCCTGAAGGAACTTTTAAAGCAGCAAGAGATGATTGATTGGAAAATCTATGACATAAGTGCACAACATCTATAGTCCTACTATATAAATTCCAAAGGGTCCATAGCCTTGAAACCAGATAAGGCTCATTGGTTAGGGTACCAAGTTGGAATGGGATAAAGATGATAGGCTTTGGTTCATCAGTTTCAAAGGTTTCAAACCAAACTGGAAAAGGCACAGAATCTGAAAGCCTTCATTGCATTGTTGCTGGCTACCTTTCATTTATGTTTATAAATTGGACATTATCAATTTTTCAGTTGCTGACTGCATCCTTCTTCGTACATCTAAAAAAGGGTAATTTGAGGCCGTAGTCTAACGTATAGTGGATTCCCAGAAACATGTACACAAATAATTGCATAGAAAGATGATTCCACGTTTGCAATTCCAAGGATGGTAGTACACACAAATATACTTAGGTTCACACAGCGATTAGTCCTGGAAACCTGGGCATTTTAAGGAATACTTTGAGATCTTAATGTCTTGTCGATAGCTGCGACGCCTTCAATGTTGATATGGAGACTTTGCTTCCAATCTCTTTCCAGCCTTTGTGATTTCATATACCCATAGAGAAGACCTTTAGTACTGTACTCTACCCCCGAACCAGCAGCCCAGCCAAGTCCCATTAATTGATCATAACGATATTGGCAAGGTCCTCTTGCTATTATCTCATAGCTACGTCCTCAACTACGACGGCTACTGGAGTAGTCAACTCCAGATCAATGCAAAAGAAAGCATCTAAAGAGGAAGGCTCATTGTAGAGCTAGAAAGCCTAATCTATTGCCTCCCTCCCTCCACGTATATCCAAGTCCGAGGGAGACTTCTTTTTTTGTGATGAAAGGTGGTATCTTAGTGATAGGCCTTTTCGTCCACCTGTGAGTATGCAAGATCTGAACTTGTCCCTCCCTTCCCTAGTCTAGACTTGTAGTAGCATTTAAAAGATAAACTGAGCATTTTGCATCACACCGTTTCCATAGTTTCAACAAGTAAAAGCTTATGAAATGGGAGATATAAATATATAGCACAAAGTTATTCTTTGACGAGATATAAATCTCTCTAACAATATCAATTTAATTGGATATACAAACTTAACTTAAGTAATACGTCTTGAACAATTGAATGCAAACATAACCAAAATGGAATAGTTCAACAAGAAAGGCAGCATAGGACTAAGGAACCTTAAATGGAACTGTGGGCATGCTGTTATACCAACATTTATTTGTTGCAAAAAGATGGCTAAGTTGCATCTTCAAAGTACGATCATTATAGAAAAGAAAATGCAAATTTTATGTTACAAGTCAATTTTGCTATTTAAGATTATCTATTCTAACTTCCCACTAGCATTACTAGTTGTCTATCTTGTAAATGGTGCCAGACCACCAATTGAAATTAAAAAGAATCATCAGAGTTCACACAAAGAACTACATCAAACAAAAGAAACACATGTGTCGAACAGTGGTTGTACACAGATGAACAGTCATAAGGTACCTGAAATGAAGCAATCATTGTGAATACCACATTTCCTTTCTGTATTGCATCTATCTTTCGGGTAGCAAAACTGTTGCCATCGCGTACACGGTGAACATGGTATATAATTGGAACTGCAAGCATATATGTATCAGATTAAAGTCTCCACTTCTCCCAAGTTATCCATCAAAGATTAATACGAGATAAGAGATGAAGAGTTGGTCAATCAAAATAACATATCACTGTTCCCACAATTAAGGTGCTCTAAGTATGACTCTGGCAAGAGCAAAAATCAACACATCATAAAAGTGGAGCCCAGACCTAGACTTTAGAGAATAAATAAGAAACAAAGAGAATCCCCAAGAAAACCAGGTAAGTTTAGTAAGGAAAAGAATCAAAAAAGAGAAATGACAAAAGGTTAGGGACCTTTTTCAAGACTCTACAAAAAAATAGAAGTTCTCACACAAACCAAACTCAAGCAAAAGTTTAACCCTTTGCCATTATATATTGAACTTAAACATGAACAAAAATATCAACCTTCAGATCTGTAAGCAGCAGGAATTCTCTGTTAATTTCAATATGATTTACATACAAAGGTACATATATTTATACAAGGGATGAGAGACCAAATCTCTCTAGTTTCATACTCTCATGAGTTAGCTTCCACTACACATTGTTTCCATAGCAAGAACATTAGGAATCCAAGCAATTGCAGTCAACATTATTATTGATGACTCACCACATTGGTTCGAGTATTATTAGTCGTTTCTGGTGTTCGTTGCTATTTTAATGACCCTTACATATGGTCACCATTCGCTATGGTGTCATATATATCTTAGGCTTGCACGTACTCCACAAAAGAAGATTTCTTTGAAGATGAACAAAGCATTTGTTGCCTGTTCAATGGAGACAAGTTCTACAAAGGGGACTTCCACCAATGATTTTGCATATGAGTGAATGTAAAGAAGTGGATGACAATCAATTTTGCCGCGTTCTACCACCATGAAATTGAAAAAGGCATGGTGAAGAAATAAGGCATTAAAGATAATTGCAATGATTATTCCACTTAGAGGTATGAAAGATAACAGTTCTTAGAGCTAAAAAAGAGTTGCTCGTTATTCCAACAAGATGAAGAACAAAACTTACTTTCAAGATCCCCAACAAGAAGAAAGTAAGCATGTAAGCTATGAACAATCTTAAGCGAATCAACAGTTTTTGATGCTGCAGCCAGTGCCTGCATATTATTGACCATTAAAAAAACTATTGGCATGGAATATTCAGTACATATGACACTAAATTAATTTTCTATTATGAATAAACCTCCACCTAAATGAATGGGAACATTAGATACCAGTAGGAGAAGGTAGGTGCAATGATATTATCGATGTTACAAAATTTTATGTCATTTTGTCTTTGATCAAATTTTAGAACAGTCTATACCAGAGACATTCTAAAGCATCTTCTAGCCTTCTGATAAAAATGCAAAATATGTAACATATATATATATATATGTGTGTGTGTGTGTGTATATGTACGTGAATATATATATATATATATATGTGTGTGTGTATGTGTATATAAAAGATTCAAAATCTGTACAGGCACACACATATTTGATACTTGTATTGATGTGAGGGAAAGACGGACAGAGGCAAAGAAAGCAAACAATCAACTGTGTGGGAATTCTTTATCAGTGTGACGGTGTCAATTCCAGTTTAACCAAAAATGAAGTTTACTCATGCCTGTCCAATGAACTGTCCTCCAAACACTTTCCCAAATTGTGGAGCATCAGGCAATGTGATCCCTTTAAATATGTTGACCTTCATAAAAAACAGAACAAATGTAAGTTATTTGTTTTATGGACATATTGCAGGGACCGAATATTCATGACACATGCTGATGCTGCCAAGAGGATAACATATAGCATACCCTAGCCGGCTAAAATCATAATAGCTTTATGAAATTTCCAAATCTTGCTTACATACTTCTATAGGCTCAAGATGCAATATGCTCTCAACAAGTGAGCATGGTTCAAGTGTTTTGTCTGCGCTCCAGATTGAAGTTGACTGCAACAAATTGCAATGCTCATGGGGCAGCACTAAGCAGGTCAGCTGTCACAACACAGGGAATATCAGAAGTCTTGAGCAAAAGATCTATTTAGATGCCTCAAGACTGAGTCAAGGCAACATCATAAATATTACAGGGATGAAACAACCAAATTGAGGAAAAAGAAAGAAATGAAACCATGCAAGCACCTTAGTCAGTGCAATGACATCTGCTTGCTGCATAGATGATGCCAGACCTGCAATACCAGGTTGAATTATTTGTAACATTTAGTCTAAAATGTCTGCATTTTGGAGAAACAAGTGCTACAAAAATATCTGAAGTACTCATAAAGCTTCAAGGTTGTCCATCTACAGAGCAAAACATGAACAATATCCACCAGCATTATGCATATGAAAGGCTCATTGCCTTTAGAGCAAAATATCAGCAATTCAAATGCCACAAGCATGATGAATCAAAAACTATTATGGAAGGATTATCGATGAATGCATTGATGTTTCATTGAGAATTAAATTATTGATGTTTACAATGATGGAGGATGAGAGAAAAACTGCTAAACAAGAATATGATGATGAAACATTCACCGTTGCCAAAGTAGTCATAACGTTTAAGTTGGAACTCTGGCCGATTATGCTCATCTGCATGGAAATACCCAGACACCTCTGCCTGCAAAAATTGGTTAATCATACTACTGTAGGCTGCAATCAAAGATGCATGTCCAATATGGAATAATATGTTACAGAAGGCGACAGTTACCTCGCCATTCCAAACGAAGTAAATTCCATTGCCAGCCTCTCCTTCTCTAACAACATATTCTTGTGGATCTTGAAAAGGGAACATCACAACTATTCAATAGACATCTGAAAGAGTCTTCCTCATATTTATATAGACATCCAAGAAGTGGGCACAAAATCAGGATATTTCATTTTGAAGGTACACAGAAACAATCTTAATTCTAAAAGTTAACACGTATATTTGTTATTTTAACAAGATTTACAATTGAAAGCGTACTCCTGAATATTATATTCTCTATCACTAACTGTGCTTTGTTGGTGATTTTAGCCAAGTCATAATGAGATTAAAAACCGATGCTGTTCTATCTTTTTTGTCATCAAGCCATTTAGTATGATCGGGATTAATGTGAGACAAGCCGAAATCAGTTAATTCGAGCCCAGAGCTGTGGCGTGCACGCTCGGATAATTCGAGCCCGGAGGTGCGGAGTGCACACTTGGATAAGTTAAGTTGATCTCAGGAACGCGGGGGTCCGGAGGCAGCGCCTCTAGTGGGGTTCCAAGGGGCAGAGCCTCCGGTCAGGGGGCAGGGTCAAGGGTGGTTATTACTTACACTTCAACAAAGATCAGCATGAATCCAAGAGCAAAAACTTCAAAATTTATATTTCTACCGATTCACTGATCATCACAACATCACGGTCACCAACAAGGTATCGGTCAAAATAGAACTAACTTATTTTACCATAATGTTCAAATTTTAGAACACTGCTTTTCTACTGAATCACTGATCACCAAAATGAAATTAACTTACTACCATAATGTTCAAACCTAAATCGCTACTTTTTCTACAGAATCACTGATCATCAAAATTCAAAACATCATATTCACTAAAACGACATCAGTCAAATAGAACCCAACTTATAACCATACTATGCAGACTTTAAAACACAAGGTTTCTACTATATTACCGATCGTTAAAACATTTCTTCACCAAAATGATATTAGACAAAACAGAACTAACTTATTTAAAATGCTACTCTTTTACCAAACATTGGATCATCAAAACATCAAATTCACCAAAATAAGTCAACCAAAACAGGACTAAACTGATTACCGTAATGTTTAACAGTAACAACTTTCGCGATTTTCCGAAGAGACGAGCTCGGCAGCCTCTGAAGCAACGGCACACAACCCAAAAATTCGATCACTGCTCATCAAATTTAATCATAAACACGTATAAAAATCAATTTGATACATCATAACACATTGAAAATTGCTAGAAAATTAGCGGTTATTGATTTTGTATGGTGATTACCTGATTCTGTGCTGAACATGCTGAATGTTGACCAGCCCTTTGCAAGGATTTTGTTTTTGTAGGTTGTTTTATAGCATCGATATCTGGACGGAAGATAGGGAAGAGGAAAAGATCCAGTGCTACGCGGCTGTAGGGTTTTATCCGGCGTTTTGAGAATCCAAATAACCACGTGTAGGCATGGGTCTCCATCCGCGGTGACAGGATCCTAGAGATATTGTTTGGGGTGGGCTGTATGCATTGCTTGATGCATCCCTATCCATGAATTTCTTCTTCATACACATCAATATTAATACATATTTTTTTACATTTTCAATGTTTAAATGACCTGATTCTGACATCAAAGAGGGTGCCATTAGCACTCCCCTATTGTTTCCGTTTACATGAGATATTTACCTTAAATGTGTCAAAACATTATGATTGGTCAATAATGTCCATATTTAAATATTGAAAGATAATTAAAATAGTCCTTAAATATCAAATTCATTTCATACGGTTTGTTTGTTTACCTCTTAATAGTTTCATTAAAAGACAACATTTGAATCGTTAAGAGGTAAATCTTATTTGACCAAAAAATAAAGTCTGTCTCTTAATAATTTTAAAACCTTCTGAATGATTTTGTATCTTAAATCTCCTTTTATCATTAAGAGCCATGATTTCATTGTATACAATTACCAAACAATTATATTTCATTTTGCATTATATCATGAGAGCCTCTTAATCATTCTGACCACTTAATCATTATGCACCAAACCATTCAGCAATTGCCAAACAGCAGCTTAATATCTCTGAAGTATAATTCAGTCAGATGTTTGGATATTAAGAGCATTTGTTTTTTTTTTAATAAGAGTTTAAAAGTTTTAAATGTCCTCTAAAGTTTTTAAATGGTAAACGTATCTTTTAATACATTTTAATCCTAATATGCTCTATCAAATGGTTCATATTTTGGGATGTAACAGATTTGTTAGCAAAAAAACTATTTATTTTTTATACTTTTGTAAAACTCTCTCTTTCGTACTTTTGCATTGGTTTGGTCGATTCAAATTTCATACTTCAGACGTAAAAACAAACAATCTTACTGATCCAGACTTCAGCACCACCTCTTATCAATTAGAAGTTAAATCAAACTTCAGAACCTCTTAAAAAACAAACGCCGCCTTAGTCGTTTTTCTCTCAAAATCATCAAAATGCTACTAGGTCCGTAATTTATGAAGAGGTCAAAGTGTTAAAAAAAGTTTTACAAATAATATATTTAATATACGAGGATGGGGCAAGGATCACGTTACCCGTCCCCATCCCTATCCTTGGCTTTTAACATGTGGGGATCCCCGTCCTCATCTTTGATCCCCAGTTTTGCGAGGAATCTCTTACCGTCGGGACGAGTACGACCAGTTCCTCAGGAGACATGTTGGTCCCAAAGGGTCTACAAGAATACTAAACAGTTTGTAGAAGGGGGGGAGATGAATACAAACACAATTTTCAAATTTAAAATATATATTGATAAAGAAGATCAATACAGATTTTATAAGATTGTCTGCGAAAAGATAAGTTATAAGAAACCTATCTAAACAATCTTAAGTTACACACAAAGAATAGCAAATATAAGAAAAAATATTGCTAATAGATTCTTTTACTTAAGCTGAAAGAAGCTTGAAGTA